TGTGGCTCAGGTCTCCATTTCTACTGAGCGGCAAGTCCTTCCTCCCCCTTCACTGGGCGGTGGTCATGATGCAGGCCACCGTGTGTGAGTGATGGGTCAGTCGTCGGCCCAGTGCCTGTGATAGGGAACCAAGATTCCTCCTTGGTTCAGTGTCCTGGAGCTGCGTATGATCAGGTTCTGTCCGTCATGTTGCATGGATCACCTTTGGGGATGCCCAGTCAGGGTCCAGTTGGACAACACAACAGCTGTTGCCTATGACCATCACCAAGGCTGATTGAGGAGTTAGTTGGTGGCACTAGAAGTCTCTCACATCCTTTTGTGGGCAGAGCTTCACTTTCCTGCCTTCTCTAAGGTTCATATTATAGGAGTGGAAAGCTGTCAGGACTACCTCAGCTGTTAGTCTGGACCAAGGCAAGTGGGCCTTGCATTTGGAGGTCTTCCAACAGATGGATAATAAAATATGAACCACGCTATGGTTACATATAATATAAATTTCAAACCACAAAATGAAGCTGGTGCAGCTGTTCAAATGTGCTCCACTAAGACTCAAAAGAAGTTTTAGGAACCGCGCTCAACTGTGTAACATATACAGCGATTAACAAATCATCCAAGTTGAATGTCCAATAATAAAAATGTCCAATAATGAAAACTTAATCCATAATGCTGTGCATCTTTCTTCTTAAAAGTGCTTGGTGCTCAAACCACCATAATAAGTGACTAGTGCTCTTCAAAAAGATGGCAGGTGCTTTTTAAGATGCTCTTCAAAGCAGATCAAACATAAGTCTTCCTCCTGGTTTCTGTTAGCTGGTTTTCCTAAATGGTCCATTTGCTAAACTGTAGGTGCTTTTATGTATCAAACTTCATTTCTGGGGTATTCACGAACACCACATTTTCACTATACAGCAAGTTTCTTCCCATACAGTGAGGATGTCCAGCTCATCTCCTTGATACCGCAAGTGTCCCACCAGCTCTGGAATCTGACTGTTAGCCACACGCTTTCCAATCTATAAGGGTTACAGATTGGGAAATGTGTGGCTAACAGTCAGACTCCAGAACTGGTGGGACGCTTGCGGTCCTGTCAATTCTGCAGAAGCCTCCTTTTTGAAACTATTTGGGTGAATCTTGATGACTTTTAACCAAATCGTAACCTTTTTGGTTGCTATAATTTCTGCATGGGGAGTTTCAGAATCAAATGATTGTTTGTCTGTGTCCCTCCTTTTTCACTAAAGGTGGTACTCGCCTTACCGCCTTTTGGTCCACGGTTGCTTCATCCCAAGGGGATGGCTCTATATTCCTTGGATGTGGTTCGGGCAATGTGTGTGTACCTGTCTGCTATGGCTTCATTCCGCATGATGGACTATTTGTGGTCACTGAGGTTTGGCAGCTTCTTCAGCTACCATTTCATGATAAATTGGACAGATATTGTAGGTGTTCACGCCTATGCCATTAGGGGTCAGATACTGCAAGTGGAGATTTGTTGTGTGTTTTTTTTTTTTTTTTTTTTTTTTTTTTTTTTTTTTTTTTTTTTTTGCTTCCCTAGGGGGGTCTTATAGATTTTGTTATGATTACCCATTCTTCTATGGTCACTGCTTTGGGATGTCCCTTCGGTCAAGATTCTTGTATTATTTTGGCTGTATCCTTCAATTAACATAAGAGAAAACAATATTTTTCTTCTACTCACTGTAAAATCTCTTATATAGTTAATCTGGCTGAAAAAAAGACAAAAGTCCATCCAGTTCAACTTCAAAATTATAATCCTATGCCCACAGTTGATCCAGAGGAAGGCAAAAAAAAACCCAGGAAAGCATGATCCAGTTTGCTCCTGGAGGGTAAAAAATTTCCTTCCTGATCCCTCGAGAGGCAATCGGATATTCCCTGGATCAACTTTACCTATAAATGTTAGCAACCAGTTATATTCTATGTATCCAAGAAAGAATCCAGGCCTTTTTAAAGCAATCCACTGAGCTGGCCAGAACCAAGTCTTGAGGGAGTCTATTCCACATTTTCACAGCTCTCACTGTGAAGAAACCTTTCCGTGTTTGGAGATTAAATTCCTTTTCCTCCAGACGTAAAGAGTCCCCTCTTGTCCTCTGTGATGACCTCATGGTGAATAGCTCTACACCGAGTTCACTATATGAACCACTGATGTATTTATACATGTTGATCATATCCCCCCTTGATCTCCTCTTCACAAGAGAAAATAGATTCAGTTCCTGTAATCTTTCCTCATAGCTGAGCTCTTCCATGCCTCTTATCAGTTTGGTTGCCCTTCTCTGTACTTTCTCCAGTTCCCCAATGTTCTTTTTGTGAATTGGTGCCCAAAACTGAACTGCATATTCCAAATGAGGTGTTACTAATGATTTGTACAGGGGTAAAATGCAATCTCTCTCTCTCTCTGAAGTCTATACCTCTTTGATGCAAGAGAGGATTTTGCTCTGTTTTTAGAAACTGCAGCTTGGCATTGCATTCCATTATTAAGCTTGTGATCTACCAGAACACCCAGATCCTTCTCCACCATTGATTCCCCCAGTTGTACCCCCCTAGTATGTATGATGCATGCCTATTCTTAGACCCCAAGTGCATAACCTTACATTAATCAACATTAAACCTCATTTGCCACATAGTTGCCCAATTAAACAGCATTGAGGTCGGCTTGTAAATTGAAGACATCCTGTAAGGATGTTATTCCACTGCAAAGCTTGGTGTCATCTGCAAAGACTGAAATGGGATTTTTAATCCCAGACCCTATATCGTTTATAAATATATTAAAAAATAAGGGTCCCAACACTGAACCTTGGGGTACACCACTGATGACCCCATACCATTCAGAGTATGAATCATTAACCACTACTCTCTTTGTATACGATCTTTTAGCCAGTTTTCTATCCATTTACATACAGATTTTTCTAATCCCATACACTTTACCTTACACATTAGCCATGTGGGGGAACTGTGTCAAACGCTTTTGCAAAATCCAAGTATACCACATCCACTGCCACCCCTTTGTCCAAGGGTTTGCTCACTTCCTCATAAAAAAGAAATCAGATTTGTTTGATAGCTTCTGTCTTTCATGAATCCATGCTGTCTGTTGCTTAAAATATTTTTTCCTGCAAGAACTCATCTATGTGGTCTTTTATTAAACGCTCCAGTATCTTCCCAACTATAGAAGTTTAAACTAACAGGTCTATAATTACTTGGTAAAGATTTTGACCTTTTTTTTTTTTAAATATTGGCACCACATTGGCCTTACGCCATTCCAGTGGTACTATTCCAGTCATTAAAGAGTCCCTACAAATTAGAAACAATGGCTTTGAAATGACAGAGCTCAATTCTTTAAAGATCCGTGGGTGTATTCCATCCAGTCTAGGTGCTTTATTTATCTTTTATTCTGTCTAAATATTTTTGGATCACATCAGTTGTGAGCCAATGTGGATCATCTGGAGCTGTGTCAATACCATGCCCATTATGGACAAGAGTCCAAGTTCATTGAAGCACACAGCTCTTCCTTCTCTAGAGAGGTGTGTGTGTGTGTGTGTGTGTGTGTGTGTGTGTGTGTGTGTGTGTGTGTGTTCGTGTGTGTGTGTGTGTTCGTGTGTGTGTGTGTTCTGCTTAGTCCTGTTCCTGAAGGTGGGACTATAACCCTACAGTCAGGTGACTGAATGGTTATAGTGAGGTCAACTAACTCAATACAGCCTCCCCACCTGCTGGAACCCTCTGTACTTGCCTTCAGTGATTCTGAGCTGTCAGTGTCCCCTCAACAACTCCAGCAGTCTGGGGATATTAGATCTCCTGTCTTCTCTGCGCTGAACTTATGGGAGAGACTATATTCTGATTGGCCAGCATTCTGACCCGGTCCGTCCCAGAAGTGCTGAACAGAGAAGAGGGAGAAGAGCAAGGGTTTCAAATCCCTAGACCGCTTTTGAGAGCTCGGTGTTGCCTGAGATAAGTACAGCTCAGCTGGGTCGGGGGGATCTGATGTTGGTTTACCCTTACATTGCAAAGATGAACTAAGGCAGGCCATAGGTGTTACAATTTTTTTTTTTTTTTTGTGTGGGTGGAAGTAAAGAATTTCCCAATCAACACAATGCCTCCTGCAGTACTATTGTGTTCTGCTTGCAGAGAGCATTACTGCCCAGCAGAACAGTGATTGCATGCAAAAAAATCCTACAGGCTGGTTGTACTGAAGTTGATCAACTTTAGTACAACTGGCCTGCCCATAGATGGATCAAATCATCTTGTCTAGTCCCTGCTGAACTTGCTGAGATTTGATTCATCTATGTCTGGCTTAACACTTTTAGTCTCAGATGTGGAACAAGTGCAGAAATTATGAGCTCAGAATTCACTCTGCTTTCCCTGATTTACATGCTGGTTCTAGGTCACTGTCGGCCCCAAATTTCTCTCCACACAGGTTAGTGTCTTTATCAGATGACTTCAACTAAAAACACATTTTTTTTTTTTTTTTTTTTTTTTGATGCCATATCATGCCACTGTGTTTATTTCATTCTGAGAAAAGTGGGACACTATGGTCCAGTGGGAAGTCCCACAGAGGAGAAAATAATGAAAATTAGTTGTCAGGTTGCATCCAACATCAATGCATCATTCAACCCAGAAGGGGGACTGGTGCTTGAGGAGGAAGCTGAGGGCAGTGCTGGATCATGAAAAGGTGCGTATTGCTTTTTTTCCTTTTCAACCGAATGGAGCAAATTACAGAATTGTGAAAGGGGAGAAATAAGTGCAGATGGGATATAAGCACGCATTAAGGTGCTCTAAATGCTATTCCAACTTGATCATTTCAGTGTATTTTCAAAAGCATTTGATTTTCACTTTTTATATGCCTGAACTATGTAAAAGCCACAGAATACATTTAGCTTTTTGATCATGTGTTTGAGACTTATTACAGTGAGCTTTAACTGGTCTGTTGTTTTTTATACATTATATGTATTAGGAGTTTAGGTTAATTTTAATTGTAATCCAGATTAAATGTGTTTTTTGTGTTGCAGAAATCAAAACTGAAATTTTAGATGATTGTAGAAAGAAAGATGAATGGAAGGTAAGTTGGTTTCTCGAATAGAGGTGAATACATTTGTTTCACACATTTAAATGATAAATCTTGTAGACTTCCTCCATATGCTCTGGAAATGCCCAAAATTAGTTAGAATTTGGAGCAATATAATCAATATTGTAAATCAAGCACAAACAACTGCGTAATGATCCACTAACTTGCATACTCTGATTCCTGGATGAGGAGCTTTTTACCCCTCATACCCAGACTTCTATCTCCAGACTATTATTTATAGCCCCCAAATGTATTCTGTTGAAATGGATCTCTCCTTCAACGTTTGAGTTCTGGAGAGAACAGGTTAATATTACTCTGCTCAAAGAGCAGCAGATCTTTCAGCAGCGAGTTGTTTCTCGTAAATTTATTAAACTTTGGTACCCCTGGCTGCAAATGCCAGGGTTAGCCCCTTCTGTCCTTTATTCTCATTACGAATTTTCCAATGTTGAAATTGATAAGAGGAATCGGAAATATACAGCAGGATGGGAAATGTGTCCGGAAGTGGATCAATATATAGCATCAGAAATATCATGGTCTATGTTTTTTTGTTTATTTCTTAAGCCCCCGGTCACATCAAGGCCGATTTTTGAAATCATGTGACTTACAGTGAAGTTGCACGGTTTCAAAGTTCTATTTGTGTTCATAGAAATTTTGTATGTTTTTGAAGGATGTGGTGATGATCTTCCAATGTTTGTTTTACTGTTTTATAGTAATACTGATCTTAACCCTATTCTGACACAGAGCTAGACACATCACAAGTCTGTACTGTGAAATTCTATGTTTACTACTGTATGCCATGCTCTGCTTGGTGTTTTGTACCGTATATTTTTTTCTAGTTCTGTAAACTTGAAAACTTTTTAATAAAAATTTGGGGAAAAAAGTAAATATTGGTGTATATTGTGTAGTTTGTAGGAAATATGTAATTGTCATGTTATACGTCTTTTATAAGTAAATTGTATCAATATAACAAATATAGGTTAGGACAAAATAACAAAAATGAATACAAACTAATTTTAATAAAAGTCAAAGTAGAGTTCTACACTGTTCAAATAAATTAAAGGAACACTTTTTTTAATCAGAGTATAGCATCCAGTTAAACTCCTGAGATATTGATCTGGTCAGTTGAGGAGCAGAGAGGGTTGTTAATCAGTTTCAGCTGCTTTGGTGTTAATAAAATTAACAGGTGCACTAGATGGGCAACAATGAGACGACCCCCAAAACAGGAGGAGGCCACAGACATATTTTTTTTTTTTCTTTTCACAGGTGGAGGCTACTGACATTTTTTCCCTACACCATCTTTTCGGACTCTTTTTCACTAGTTTTGCATTTGGCTAGGGTCAGTGTCAGTACTGGTAGCATGAGGCGATACCTGAACCCTACAGAGGTTACACAGGCAGTCCAACTCTTCCAGGATGGCACATGAATATGTGCCATTGCCAGAAGGTTTGCTGTATCTCCCAGCACAGTCTCGAGCATGGATGAGATTCCAGGAGACAGGCAGTTACTATAGGAGAGCTGGGCATGGCTATAGAAGGTCTTTAACCCATCAGCAGGACCGATATCTGCTCCTTTGTGCAAGGAGGAACAGGATGAGCATTGCCAGAGCCCCACAGAATGACCTCCAGCAGGCCACTGGTGTGATTGTCTCTGACCAAACAATCAGAGACAGACATCATGAGGGTGGCTTGAGGGCCCAACATCCTCTAGTGGGCCCTGTGCTCACTGCCCGACACCATAGAGCTCGATTGGCATTTTCCATTGAACACCAGAATTGGCAGGGCCGCCACTGGTGCCCTGTGCTTTTCACAGATGAGAGCAGGGTCACCCTTAGCACATGTGACAGACGTGAAAGGGTCTGGAGAAGCTGTGGAGAACGTTATGCTGCCTGTCACATTGTTCAGCATGACCATTTTGGTGGTGGGTCAGTGATGGTCTAGGGAGGCATATCCATGGAGGGACGCACAGACCACTACAGGCTAGACAATGGCACCCTGACTGTCATTAGCTATCAGGATGAAATTCTTGGACCCATTGTCAGACCCCACGCTGGTGCAGTGGGTCCTGGTTTCCTCTTGGTGCATGACAATACCCGGCCTCATGTGGCGAAAGTATGCAGGCAGTTCCTGGAGGATGAACAAATTGATACCATGCAGGGTGGATTTGATTTAAATCCTAGTTTTCTACATAAAGACTAATTCTTGCTGGTATAACTTTAATATGCAAGTAGATGAAGATTTTTAGAATAACAACTTTTCATATTAGTTTTTTTATCCCCAGTTTAATAGGTTAATCATTCATATTTGGACAACTTTTCTGTTGTACTTAGGAAGGAGAAAAATAATCATTACCTTAATAATAACAATTTAAATAGATTTATTCAACTGAAACAATAACATTCCATCATATGTTATTTGCTTAAACAAACATCCATGTTTGTTAACTAATTTGGCTAAACAAAATATATATATTTTTAAGAAACTTAGACTGTCAGCCCCTTCCTCCTCACACTTAGTTTCACTTTCTTCTTGTGCAGATCTATTCCACTCCAAACAATCAGAAAAATATTGTTTCTATTCTGTTCACTGAACTTCTTGAAACTTAGCACTGAAGGGGTTGATTCTGTATTCATAGGTTTGTAGAAGTTAGGATTAAGGTCTTTTTCTTAACTCTGTTCATGTTATAACATTTTTGCTGTGAAGAAGAGGCATGTGATCTCCGCTGAGTCAAATTCAGTTTTGAGAACTGAAAAAGTAAACCAAACGTCTGTGATAATATCTTGTAGGCAGAGAAACTGCCCAATAATCTTACAAAAACCTCTGGAAGAGCATGACATTGTGAATGGATTCATGGAATTTATTTACCAAAAAAATTAAACATATACAGCCTTATTCTACATAATTAAAAAACTAATCTTTATTTCATAATGGAATAACCTTTGGATGGTAATATATTTTCCTCAAAAAGCATTTTATTTAAAAAAATCAGATTTAAATAAAAAAATCCGATTTTAAATAAAAAAAAAAAACGTTTTTTTTTTTGTTTTTTTTTAAATCATTGATTTTTATCCACCCTGATACCATGGAATGGCCCCCATGCTCACCTGTTCTAAATCCAATAGAAAACCTCTGGGATATCATGTGTTGGTCCATCCGACGCCACCAGGTTGCACATCAGACTGTCCAGATGCTCGGTGATGCCCTGGTCCAGATCTGGGAGGAAATACCCCAGGATACCACCATCCATCATCTCATTAGGAGTATGCCCCGACGTTGTCAGGATTGCATACAGACATGTGTGGGCCATAAAAACTACTGAGTACCATTTTGAGTTGCTGCAATGAAATTTCAGCAAAATGGACTAGCCTACTGCATCATTTTTTTTTCACTTTGATTTTCAGGGTGCCTTTGAATATAGTCCTCTGTAGGTTGATAATTTTTATTACCATCAAATGATGGGGCATCCTTATGTTGCTCACACATTACCCAGTCCATATCCGTATAGATATCCAGCATGATATTTTCCCCATTGATATGTGTTTTCAAAGTGTTGTTTTTTTGAGTAATGTATTAGTTTGGTTGTGAATTAGCATTTCTATGAGTGAGTTTTTATCCTACAGAGTTGGATAAAACATTGTAAATATTTTTATCTCTGTAAATTTTAAATAAATTGTGTTGTTTTGCCATCCAAAATACCGATTGTAGTAAAAATATTGATTCTGGGTATTGTTATTGCTGGTTGTACTGCCATGCTAAATAAGGCTGCAATATGGTAACTGTTTTCAAAACCACTTACTAACTAGACAAATTGTACGTTGTGTTTCCTATTCAGATTCTACTCTTAGATCAGTTTACCACTAGCCTGCTAACATCATGTTGCAAAATGACAGACCTACTGCAAGAAGGCATCACAGGTAAAAACAGTAGTGCATCTGGAAATTTGTAACAGAAGTATTTGAGGAAAAAGAATACATTTCCCTTTTGTTCCTTTTTTTTTATTTGTTTTTTTTTTTCCCCATTTCCCTTTTTGATATGTGCTATGCATAGTGTTGGGAGGTGTTTTTTTTCCACCCTTTTTATGATGTTGGTGACTGGTCTCCAAGAAAGAGAGAAATTGAGCAGAAGTCCAGAATTTTAGTGCAGAGCAAGTGGTAAGGGTAAATAATCAAGTACAGACAAATATTCTAGTGACAACTATCTAAGATGGGATTTCCTTTCTTTTGAGGGATATTTCTCCTCATTTCCTGTTGCATCTGCAGGACAGGCAGTGAAAGGAAATGTTCTTGGTGAGACAAAAGATTACCTAATTGGTGCTTCCATACTTTCCTTAATCTATCCAAAACGTTTAAAACAGGGTTCTGGCTCTACATACATTTTTGTTCTAAAGATCAATTGGTCATATTTTAACATTTTATGCTTGTTCTCTGACAAAGGTCATAGACAAAAATCTAACCTATTCATGTATATTTCTTATTCCTAGTTGTAGAAGACATCTATAAAATAAGGCAACCGGTTCCAGAATTAAAAGCAATTTATTTTATTTCACCAAGTGAGAAGGTTTGTATTTCCCTACTTAAATTTTTAGTCTTCAACCTGCAAGGATTTTAAAGCAAATGTTTTATCTTTGTTTTCTATATACCTGCACGTTGTTAGAGATATGTTTGTATAATATGCCACTTAGGTTTCTTGCATACACATGGCAAGGAGCTCCAGGGTTGTGTGTGGATACAGAGACAACTAATTTAGTTTGTTTTTTTTGGGGTTTTTTTTTCCACAAACCTTAATAGGATCTGCTCTGGGTTCTGGAGAGGCTCTGTAGAACTCCAAGGCTTTGTAGTAAGTTTGGGTGGGATAAAACCTCCATTCCTAGGTCCAAATCTCACCTAAAAGCCAGAATTCATTAATTGGTCTCAACTGTCTAGAGGCATTTATGCAGGCTAACTGATGCTCAGGGCTCTCACTAGCACTCTCTCTTGCAGGAACCTGTTACTGGTAGAAAAGGCTGGCTGCTGATACACTAAAAATGTGCAAGAACTGTCTGTTTTTGGGGACCAATTATTGGGGGACCCTGTAAGGGACTGACCCAAGTTCATTTAGTAGCACAGATGAGCAGATGTTTGTTTCATGCTATTGACTCGCTGTGCCAAGCCTTCCAACACCGAGTTGTGTTTGCATGGTGCATTGCTAAATAAAAGTGCAGGGGTACCCTGCTTAAACTGCTCTTGGGTGTTCCTGTCATGTGTATGGTTTATCAAAATCAAGCTCCCTGCAGTCAGAGCTTTGCTCTGCATCCTTAACTGCAGGTATGTCTTGATTTTGTTAAAGTATAAGTTCACCTTTTTGAACAAAAATAATAAATGAAAATTTATTTTTTGTGGGTAAAACCATGCAGGTAAATGCATTTATTATTTTTATCCAAAGAAGCCTGTAAAGCATTGCACCAGCAATCCACAGATCGCTGATGCCATGCAGGTCTTTTGCAGACCTGTCAGAAAATCTGCTTGTAGAATATCTGATGTACAGTTGAACAGATATTCTGACTGGAATCTTCAATCAACTACCACGGCACTCCACAGCGCTGTGGTAGTTCTTTGATAACTACAAGCCAACAGCCACTGAGGCACTTGTGGGCACTCATTCACGGAAATCTGTGAATGAGTGACGCGGCCGTGTGGGCAGAGCTTCACACAGCCATGCTGTTTTCAAATCTGACAGATATAGTAAGGGGATACTTCTCCCCATACTCTTTCAGAGGAAGGGGGCGGCGGGCGTGGCTTCAGCTGTGGGAACATGTTATATGTTCCACCCTAAAAATGTGCGGAACATCTAACATGTTTCAAATGTGAACTTATCCTTAAAGTTAGACCCCTGAGCCTGAGGCACTGGAGATTTTGGAATCCAGGTGTGAGATGGAGGGTTAGAATTTATTATCCATAGGAGTGCTGAGCTTACATCAGGTATTTTGCATTTCTTAAAGGGAGAAGCCCAGCATCCAGATAGTCAAATTTCTTGCCTAGAAGATGATCTTCTCCCCACATCATATCCATTAATCCAGAGAATTGCATTGGTATAGCTTCTGTTTATCTCGCAGATGCTCAAGATCTAGACTGTGCGATCACCGCTCTCATTCCTGTGCTCATGTTGTCATTCTACTTGTCGTCTTCAGAGAGGAGTATGCTGGATATGTGGTGTGCCAGCCATTCCTTAACAGGCTCTCAAGATAAAGATTTGGATTTGCAGGAGGTGCCTTTGTACATTCTTCTGGCAGCAAAGGAAAGTATGCAGCGGTTTATGGCAAAGAATTTCTCTAAATCAGAAAAGCTAGTGGCAGTTTTAGCCCCAGCACAAGCAGATCTGGACCCCTCAAGATTTTGGAACACGTCAAGTGATGATGATTAACAGTTACTGGAGGATGATGTCCGAGCCCTTACCCTAGGGAAAACAAGGGACTGTTAATAAGCCAATCCACAGCAAGGGGAGGTTCATAAATATTATTCTGATCTGAAAAAAGGCTCTACCTTCATTCTGTTACTGGAGATCAATGAGTTCATTGAAGAACAGTGATAGTCTATTAATAAGAAAGGCGAGTTTTCTGAACACCAGAAGTTGTATCATCTTAAAGCGGAGATCCACCCAAACAGGAAATTCCACTTGCCTGCCTCCCAAGTTTTTAAGGAACAAAAAAACACTTAAATTAACTTTAGTGCACACAAGAACAATATAATAACCTGTGTTTTTTTTTTCCTAAGTAGATCTGGAGTTTATTAGAACCCTGATCTCTCCAAGGCAGCTGATCAAACAGATCTGTTGGATCAACTACTTCCCTGGCCGGTACCAGCCAGGCAAACACAGCACTGAAACTGGACGTGATAAAATCCTTGTCTCTTCCAGCTTCATTCATCACAGAGAAGGCTGGGTAACAGATCTTCCATCTTCTTTGTAGGCAGCCGGCTTGACTGCTTGCCATGGTCCTGGACCATGTAACAACGGCGGGAGGAGGGGTGGGCCCTTCTGAGCTCTGTAAAAGTGATCGGGCAGCTGTAGAGCCACACAGATCACTTTTACATGAAAGCCAGGCCCTGACTGTAAAAACACCAGGATCATGTCTGCAGATGCCTTATGATCTTGGTAGAACTGCCACAGTTCAACATGGTCAAATCTGTAAAAGAGTCAATTGTCTTTGTCCCAGTCAATGGAATATCTCAGGTATTGGTCGATACTGCAGCAAGCAGAGTTTTTCCTCCAACAAGGAATAATGACAACTTGATTCAGAGTAGCAGGATTGTTCACCTCTTGCCCCTTCTCATTAATAGAAGTGGAGCCAATGGAGGACAAGGTTGAAGAAGAAGAGAATTCTTCAATAGATGGAGATGCAGCAGAACCCCGAAGGAAGCTACTCCTGAGGAATAAAAAGGCCTTTGGGCTTTTTCTTGCAGAAGTTGTTCGAACTAATTTTGAAGTTACCGATTTCGGTGTCCTGTACTTCAAAAGTGACCGGTGTTGGATTGTGGCATCCTCCACAACATCTTCAATCTTTTTCTGTTTATCTTAACCTCTTGCCGTCCGCCTGCTGTTTATAAACGGCAGGGCGGTGGCAGTCCAAGGTCGGGTTGCCGTTCCTAAACGGCACCCGCCTTTTCTAGCTGTGCGCGCTCCCTAGGAGCGCGCACCACCGCGATCCGGTGTCCGCTGTGTCCTCCGGACACAGTGAAACACCGATCGTCGGACGGGACCTCTGTACGAGGTCCCGGTCATGTGATCACTGATTGGCGAATCAGTGATCACATGCAAAGTAGTAAGCAAGATGTCACTTGTGACATCATTGCTTACTACGTGTGAAATCTGTGAATGATCACAGAGGTCACATGGTACAAGGCTATTCACAACAGCCTTGTACCATGTGACAAGCTGTGACCAATCACAGCTCACTCAGTATTTCTCAATGACTGCAAGAATGCAGACAGAGAGAAAGAGAAATGATTGCTTTTACATCCTATATGGGTGTAAAAGCAATCAGTGTAAAAAAAAAAAAAAAAATCTTCATCACCCCCCACAAGTAGTACAGTGTCACCATGGTGACACTGTACTGCTAAGGTGACAGTATGTAAAAATAAAAAATAAAAAATAAAAAAAATAATATAAAAAAAAATAAAATAAAAATGTAAAAAAAAATGTTTAAAAATTATAATGTTTGGTTATAAACTAATTTGGATTTTTTTTTTTTTTATTAAAAAAATAACGGAATAAATTTTGGCCAAGATTTAGGATGAAATATTATTTATTTGCAAAATTTTATTAAAAAAAACACTTTTTTTCAAAATTTTTGGACTTTTTCATTTACATAGTAAAAAAAATAAAAATCCCAGCGGTGAATAAATACCACCAAAATAAAGCTTTATCTGTCTCAAAAAAATGGTAAAAAATTCATATGGGTACAGTATTGCATGACCGCGCAATTGTCATTCAAAGTGTGATAGCGCTGAAAGCTGAAAATTGCCCTGGACAGGAAGGGGGTAAAAGTGTCCGGACAGGAAGTGGTTAATATAAAAGGATGCTTTGTTGTTGATGTATTTATATGGGGCTCACCTTGGCAAGGTATTCATTCCACCAAAAAGGTTTGCTCAGCAGTACCTCATGGAGAGTGAGTTCACTAAGAAATGGGAGTATGGATCTGGCAGTTTCTTATCTGTCCTCACATTTCTCGCGTGCCCAGTGTATGAGATCCCTGTATTTAAGAATGCCTCAGACAAACATCTGGTGGTTTTATTCAAGGCCTCATTTACTCTGGTGGGAACAAAAGTGCCTGTAGGCATATGTCAGCTTTTAGGTATGGGCTTGGTTATAGAGAGGTATCCTACTAATGGAGATTCAAAAAAGAAGAAATCCGGAGGATTCTCTGCGTGCTCTTGGCATCTCCTTGGATGCCTTACAGGACTCCATTCAGCAACATTTGTATCTTGGGTCCTTATCCATATACATTTGCAGGATCTTATGCCTTAAAGTGTTGGTCGGTGGAATTGTCCTGCAAAAAAAAAAAATATAGAATGTTTACCTTTTCAAGGGGAGCATTAGATCCTGTGTTTGATTATATCCAGAGGGCAACCATTTACAAAGATGGCAAAGCCAATAGTTCAACAACCTGCTACTCCTTCCCCTTCCCAAGAAGCATTTCCTTCACTATTCTGAGGCTCCAAACCAAACCCTCAGACCGAGTTCTGCAAGAAAACATAGACTTCAAAGCCCTCTAAGCCAGAAGAAAAGTCCTTCACTTGAATGGAATGACATTTGCAAGCCTTTGTAAAGTTTTGGCAGGGGGAGCTTAGGGACCTGAGGGTCCGCAACATAATGGTTTTTTGCAGCTAGAAGCTGGAATTTCAGAGTCTTCCGCCATCTGTGCTTCATGCTTTCAAAACTTTCTTTGAAAAAAATGTGTGCTCTTGCAAGCTATCTTTAATCTGCTGTCTCAAGGAGACTTGCTTCTGGAATTTTCAAGAGATTGCCTTGATTTCAGCCTAGAGGTTAGAGTATCTGGGCCTGATCCTGGATACTGTCCAGGTGAGAGGGATCTTCCTTCTAGAGAAATGCCTTGCTTTGAGGTCTTCAAGTTGCTGTGGGTGCTCTGGTGACACAGTTGGACTGGTGCTCCCTAATCTATGCCTTCCTGCAGTTATAGCTTCTTCTGTGTCTGCTTTGCAGGACTAGAGTAGAAGGAATTCTGGTAATTCTGATCCCTCCAGCCTGGCCCAGGAGAACTTGGTACTCCAACATTTTGTAGACGTTTCGACTGCAGATGACCGTTGTGCTCTTACGGATCAACTTGACTGCCTGTCGCAAGGTCCGACCTTCCATTCTTCTTTACAGTTGCTGGGTTTAATAATATAGCTGTTGAACCAGTGCCTTAAGGGAGTTAGTCAGCAATTTCTACTCTGCTGAAGGCTTAGAAGGTGACTTCTAGGAAGATTTACAACAGGACTTGGAAGTCTTATTTCGCCTGGTGTGAGACTCCGGGTTTATATCCTTGCAGATATGTAGGTGGTTGCATCCTGGCATTTCTCAAGACTGGAGCAGATTTGGGAAATGCTTTTGAGTAGGAATAAAGGTCAAATTTAGGCTCAGGCAGTCCTTTTTCAGAGACAGATTGCATCACACTCCTTATTGCAGGATGTTGTGCAAGAAATATCCATATTGTGCCAATGGTTAAGACACAGTTGACATCATGGGACCTCAGCTTGGCAATTTCTGAACCCATCCAAGATATTCCTTTTGGTCTTTCTGACTTGAAAAATAAGTTTTCTGGTTACTATTACTTTGGCTCCCAAAGTCTCGGAATTGGCTGCAAGAAACTGTTCCTGGTGGTCGTCATTTTTGCCTATGATGGTTTCTTTGTTCCATTTCAACCAGGACGTGGTTTTGCCCTCCTTCTGTGCTAACCCTTAGATGCCAGAAGACAGGCTCTTCACACCTTGGATGTGGTTCATGCTATCAGGTGTCGGATTCCCTCTGTGCTTCTTGAAGGCCCAAGGAAGGGTAACTGAGCTTCCAAATCTACTATCTCTGGATGGATGTTTGCTAATTTCTCAAGCTTATGGTATAAAGGGAAAAGTTCCACCATTTTCATTGACAGCTTATTCTACTAGGAGTGTTTGGTGCCTCCTGGGCTATTCGTCGTCAGGCTTTGGTAGCTCAAGTATGTAAAGCTGCTACCTGAACTTTAGTTCATACTTTTATGAAGTGTTACCAAGTGGAGGTTGCAGCCACTGAAGATGCTACTTTTTGGTTGGTGTGTTTTGTGGGCTGCATTAGGTTCTGACCTGTTCCGTTTTAGTTGTTTTTGTCTGTGGTCTTGTGGCAGTGTGTTGCCCTCCTCTTATGTTCAATGATTTTGGATATCCCTTTCATAATGGAGCTGAAGATTGTCTGTGATGTTTCCAGGGAAATCAAAAATCCAAGTCCTATAACTTTTATGTTTGTACATACAGTGGATGTAAAAAGTTTACACACTCTAGTTAAAATGCCAGGTTTCTGTGATGTAAAAAAATGAGACAAAGATTAAATTATTTCAGACCATTTTCCACCTTAATGTAACCTATAAACTGTACAACTCAGTTGAACAACAAAATGAAATCTTTTAGGTGGGGGAAGTAAAAATGAAAAACTAAAATAATATGGTTGCATAAATGTGCACACCCTTAAACTAATACTGTTGAAGCACATTTTGATTTTATTACAGCACTTTTTTGTCTTTTTGGGTATGAATATCAGCATGGCACATTTTGGTTTGACAATATTTGCCCACTCCTCTTTGCATAAACACTCCAAATCTGTCAGATTGTGAGGACATCTCCTGTGCACAGCCCTCTTCAGATCACTCCACAGATTTTCCATCAGATTCAGGTCTGGTCTGGCTGGGCCTTTCCAAAACTTAAAATTTTTTTCTGGTGAAGCCATTCCTTTGTTGATTTGGATGTATGCTTTGGGTCGTTGTCATGCTGAAAGATGAAGTTCCTTTTCATGTTCAGCTTTCTAGCAGAAGCCTAAAGGTTTGGTGCCAATATTGACTGGTATTTGGAACTGTTCATAATCTCCTCTACCTTGACTAAGGCTCCAGTTCCAGCTGAAGAAAAACAGCCCCAAAGCATGATGCTGCCACCACTATTCTTCACTGTGGGTATGGTGTTCTTTTGGTGATGTACAGTGTTGTTTTTGCGCCAAACATCTCTTTTGGAATTTTGGCCAAAAGGTTCAACCTTGGTTTCATAAGACCATAACACATTTTCCCAGATGCTTTTGGGAGACTTCAGATGTGTTTTTGCAAAATTTAGCCGGGCTTGCAGGTTTTTCTTCATAAAGGCTTCTGTCTTGCCACTCTACCCCATAGCCCAGACATATGAAGAATATGGGAGATTGTTGTCACATGTACCACACAGCCAGTACTTGCTAGATATTCCTGCAACTCCTTTAATGTTGCTGTAGGCCTCTTGGCAGCCTCCTAGACCATTTTTCTTCTTTTCTTTTCACCAATTTTGGAGGGACATCCAGTTCTTGGTAATGTCACTGTTGTGCCATATTTTTTCCACTTTATGATGACTGTCTTCACTGTGTTCCATGGTATATCTAATGCCTTGGAAATTCTTTTTTACCCTTCTCTTGACTGATACCTTTTAACAATGAGATCCCTCTGATGCTTTGGAAGCTCTCTGCGGACCATGGCTTTTGCTGTAGGATGCAACTAAGAAAATGTCGGGAAAGACCTACTTGAACAGCTGAACTTTATTTGGGGTTAATCAGAGGCACGTTAAATGATGGCAGGTGTGTACTGACTCCTATTTAACATGATTTGGATGTGATTGCTTAATTCTGAACACAGCTACATCCCCAGTTATAAGAGGGTGTGCACACGTATGCAACCACATTATTTTAGTTTTCTATGTTCACTCCCCCCCCTAAAAGATTTCAGTTTGTTTTTCAATTGAGTTGTACAGTTTATAGGTGACATTAAAAGGTAGAAAAAGTTCTGAACTTATTTATCTTTGTCTCATTTTTTTTTTAAATTACAGAAACCTGACATTTTAACAAGTCTGTGTAGACTTTTTATATCCACTGTAGAATATATTTACTGCACTGTTACATCACATGCTCATAAAAGATTTTACAAATCTATATAATGATGGACAATTTTTTTTTTTGCTCACATGGTCTGTGATTAAATTTTTCCTAATCTAATTTAATTTCAGTCTGTGGATTTTCTGGTGAATGACTTTAAGCCCAAACAGTGCAAATACAAGGCTTCTTATGTTTACTTCAGCGATAGTAAGTATTGCCTAGGTGCTGTATTGCCTGCTAAATGTAATTTTGTTTTGTTTTTTTTTTTATTACTGTTACAATGTCTTGCCTTAAATATACCATAGGACAGCATGGCCATTGAGATATAGTTCCTTTTATTGGGTAACATAAGTACCAACAGAATGAAGAGGGTTGCCTCCTCTATAACCATAGATATCTCCCAAGCCCTAATTTTATCTTTTGACCAGCATACCTGGCAACCGAACATCATAGAAAAATTCCAGTCCACCTTCCCCATAGCCTTACTTCCTCACTATGAGTTCCTCACCACTGCGTTTTGAGAGCAAGGTTGTATTCTGATGTGCAGGTAGGATTCTGCCTCTTTGATTAAGGAGGGGAAGAAGTGGCTGTGCTAGTTCTTTGACTGTATCCTACTTTAAAGTTCACTTTTACAAAAAAAATAAATAAATCCACACACACACCTCAAAAAAATTAAAGGAACACTTTGAAAACGCATCAGGTCTCAATGGGGAAAAATATGCTGGATATCCATACTGATATGGACTGGGTAATGTGTTAGGAATGTAAGGATGCCCCATTGTTTGATGGAAATAAAAAACTACGGAGGACTGAATTCAAAGACACCCCCAAAAATCAAAGTGAAAAAATGATGCAGCAGACGGTCAATTTTGCTGAAATTTCATTGCAGCACCTCAAAATGGTACTCAGTAGTTTGTATGGCCCCCACGTCCTTGTATGCATGCCTGACAATGTCGGGGCATGCTCCTAATGAGACGACGAATGTCCTGATGTATTTTCCTCCCAGATCTGGACCATGGCATCACTCCTGGACAGTCTGAGGTGCAACCTGCCAGCGTCGGATGGACCGAAACATGATATCCCAGAGGTGTTCTATTGGATTTAGATTAGGCGTGGGGGTCATTCAATGGTATCAATTCCTTCATCCTCCAGGAACTGCCTTCATACTCTTGCCACATGAGGCCGGGCATTGCTGTGCACCAGGAGGAACCCAGGACCCACTGCACCAGCGTAGGATCTGACAATGGGTCCAAGGATTTTATCCCAATACCTAATGGCAGTCAGGGTGCCATTGTCTAGCCTATAGAGGTCTATGTGTCCCTTCATGGATAGTCCTCCCTGACCCACTACCAAAACTATCATGCTGAATGATGTTACAGGCAGCATAATGTTCTCCACGGCTTCTCCAGACACTTTCACATCTGTCACATGTGCTCAAGGTGAACCTGCTCTCATTTGTGAAAAGCACAGGGCACCAGTGGCGGACCTGCCAACTCTGGTGTTCAATGACAAATGCCAGTCAAACTCTGTGGTGCCAGGCAGTGAGCACAGAGCCCACTAGAGGACGTTGGGCCTTCAGGCCACCCTCATGAAGTCTGTTTCTGATTGTTTGGTCAAACATTCACACCAGTGGCCTGCTGGAGGTCATATTTTAGGGCTGTGGCAGTGTTCGTCCTGTTCCTCCTTACACGGAGGAGCAGATACTGGTCTTGTTGATGGGTTAAAGACCTTCTATGGCCCTGTCCAGCTCTCCTAGAGTAACTGCCTGTCTCCTGGAATCTCCACCATGCCCTTGAGACTGTGCTGGGAAACACAGCAAACCTTCTAGCAATGGCACATATTGATGTGCCATCCTGGAGGAGTTGGACTGCCTGTGCGACCTCTGTAAGGTCCAGGTATCGCCTCATGATACCAGTAGTGACACTGACCCTAGCCAAATGCAAAATTAGTGAAAGAGTCAGAAAAGATGAGTAAGGAAAAAAAATGTTAGTGGCCTCTTACCTGTAAAACCATTCCTGTTTTGGGGGTTATCACATTGTTGCCCATCTAATCCACCTGTTGTGAATTTCATTAACACCAAAGCAGCTGAAACTGATTAACACCTCCCTCTGCTACTTAACTGACCAGATCAATATCCCAGGAGTTTAATTGACTTGATGCTATACTCTGATTAAAAAGTGTTACTTTAATTTTTTTGAGCGGTGCATTGTCTCTATCTTTGAACTAAGGAGTCCTAAGAGACAGAAATTGTCTTTTGAGGTTGATTTTCCACCAGTGGCTCTGGTATCTTGTACGATAACAGAGTTGATCACATCTCCCCAGTGGTGGTCTTCCCATGGGTCGGCAAGACCTACCAGTACAATATATCTATCTCTTGTTTTGTTTGTTCCCCCCCCCCCCCCCACCCCGCCCTTCCTCATTTTATTATTTTTTTTTTCTTTCTTCCTCTTTCCTCTTTTCCTTTTTCCTTCCTCTGGGTTTAGATTATGTTCTTTGACAATTCAATAACCCTCTCCAATGTTTTTTCAATATAATGTATGGAATATTTGGCTAATTTGTATCTTTTTGATACTGTTTAGTGATTACTGTACCCATAATTCTGAGATCTAAGGTCCTGAGGAAGTGGGTCATCCCGCAAAACATGTTGCCCTGCATACAGTTGTGCTCAAAAGTTTGCATACCCTGGCAGAAATTGGAAAATTTTGGCATTGATTTTGAAAATATGACTGATCATGCCTAAAAATGCTTTTTTATTGAAGGAAGATGATCATATAAAGCCATTTATTATCAAATAGTTGTTTGGCTCCTTTTTAAATCCTAATAACAGAAATCACAAAATGGCCATAATCAAAAGGTTACATACCCTGGAATGTTTGGCCTTGGTACAGACACACAAGGTGACACACACAGGTTAAAATGCCAATTAGAGGTTAATGTTCCACATCTGTGACTTTTTAAATTGCAGTTAGTGTCAGTGTATAAATAATCAGTGAGTTTGTTAGCTCTTACGTGGAAGCACTGACTAGGCTAGATACTGATCCATGGGGATCATAACAGAACTGTCAAAAGTCCTGCGTAACAAGGTAATGGAACTTTATAAGGCTGGAAAAGGACATAAAAAGATGTCCAAAGCCTTGAATATGCCAATCAGTACTGTTAAATTGCCTATTAAGAAGTAGAAAGTTCAAGGATCTCTTGTTACCAAGCTAAGGTCAGGTAGACCAAGAAAGATTGCAGCCATAACTGACAGAAAAATTGTAATAAAGATATGAAAGTTTTTTTCAATACTTGTATCATGTATATTTGACCATTGGAGGGATAATTAAAGCCCCATTATTTTGTTTTCTTTTTCTGATGTTCTTGTCGGGGATGATTACCCCCCCCCCCCCCCCCCCCCATATACGCATTGAGTAACGTTGTATAGTAGAATAGGACAATACAGTGGGGATAAAAATTATTTGATCTGCTGCAGATTTTGTAAGTTTTGCCCACTTTCAAAGAAATGAAGGGTCTATAATTTTTATCATAGATGTATTGTAAATGATAGAGACAGAATATCAACCAAAAATCCAGAAAATACATGATATGTTATAAGTTGAGTTGCAGTTCAGTGAGTAAAATTAATTATTTGATCTCAAAGCAAAATATGACTTGGTACTTGGTGGAGAAACCCTTGTTGGCTAGCACAGAAGTAAGATGTTTCTTGTAGTTGGTTACCAGGTTTCACACATCTCAGGAGGGATTTTGGTCCACTCTTCGTACTGATCTGTAAATCCTAAAGGTTTCTTGGCTGTCGCTTGGCAACTCGAAGTTTCAGCTCCCTCCCAAAAGGATTAAGGTCTGGAGACTGGCTAGGCCACTCCATGACTGCAATGTGCTTCTTCTTGAGCCACTCCTTTGTTGCCTTGGCAGTATGTTTTGGGTCATTATCATGCTGGAAGACCCATTTACAACCCATCTTTAGTGTTCTGGCTGAGGGAAGACTGTTCTCATCCATGATTTTACAATACATGGCCCTGTCCATTGGCCCCTCAATGTAGCAAAGTCAGCTTGTATCATTTGCAGAGAAACAGCCCCAAAGCATAATATTTCCACCTCTTTACTTGACTGAATGGATGGTGTTTTTAGAATCATAGTTAGCACTTTTCTTCCTCCAAACAGTGTGTTGAGTTAATACCAAAGAGTTCAATTTTGGTCTCATCTGACCACAACACTTTCTTCTCTGAATCATTTAGATGTTCATTGGAAAACTTCAGATAGGCCTGTACATGTGCCTTCTTGAGGAGAGCGACCTTGCGGGTGCTGCAGGATTTTAATCCATGGCGGCGTATTGTGTTACCAATGGTTTGCTTAGTGACTATGGTCCCAGCTGCCTTGGGATCATTCACAAGCTCCTACCATGTAGTTCTGGGTTGATCCTTCACTTTTCTCATGCTCATCCTTACCCCATGAGGCGAAATCTTGCATGAAGCTCCAGACCAAGGGTGGTTTTGATGGTTAGTTTGTATTTCTTCTATTTTCGAGTAATCACTCATTCCAGTCTTGTGCAGGTCTACAATTTTGTCCCTGAGGTCCATTTGACAGCTCTTTGCCCATGATGGTGAGGTTTGAATGGAAGAGAGATTCTGTGGACAGGTGTCTTTTATACACATAATGAGTTGCACCTTCTTAAATTGACAGGTCTAATCTGTGTACCACATGAGCACATAGCCAGTTTGTGGGAGCCAGAATTATTGTTGTTTGGTAGGGGAACAAAAACTTATTTTACTCACTGAATTGCAACTTCCTTTATAACATTTGTATTGTGTTTTTTTCTGGATATTCAGTCCTCTAGGACAGGGGTGGGCAGCTGTGGCCCTCCAGCTGTTAGTGAACTACAAGTCCCATCATGCCTCTGCCTTTTGGGAGTCATGCTTGTAACTCAGTTTTGCAATGCCTCATGGGACTTGTAGTTCTACAACAGCTGGAGGGCCACAGTTGCCCACCCCTGCTCTAGGAGGATAATGTATGGAGAGTCACACTAGGCATGAAGGCTTCCTGTAGAATGTGAACAGCCAGGTAATGTGACAGTGCAAAAAGCTTCACAATACACATAAACCTATTCAGAGTTGCCACTAGAATAACTAAAGCACCTAGGAATAGGTACGGTGACGTGTAATACCCAGGAAACCCCTATAACTTAACAAGGACCTGGGCTGCATATAGAGAGTTTTCATGACACTAATGCCTGACAAAGATATAACCAGGGGTAATCTGTATTAAAAAAAAAAAGTACAATGAATAAACCAGAATAAGTAAGGCGACAAGAAAGCATCAATGACCTAGAACTTGCATGTGATTTATTTTCTTGCTGGTTTGATGTGTTAGTGTGACAACTCCTTTTTGTGATGTTTGTCATGTCTATTGAAAAGCTTATGATTGTTAGAATTATGGTTTTTTTTTTGTGTTTTTTTTACTTATATGCGTTTGTCTTTTCAGCATGCCCTGAAAGCCTCTTTACAAAGCTAAAATCTTGTGCCCCCAAAAAAATAAAGAAGTGCAAGGAAGTTAATATTTCTTTTTTCCCCAGAGAGTCTCAGGTAATTGTCTTGTGATTTTATAAATTGATTTATTATTTTGTTCACAATTAAGCCTGCTAAAAATTGTGTTTTGCGTGATTTTAAAGCCACATATAGTGGTTACACTGCAGTACATATTGCATACCTTTAAAGCAAATCTAAACCCAAAAACAAACATTTTAATATATTGTAGCTTGCCAGTCCTTAGATTAGATGGCTGACTTGACTTGTCATGATTGTTACCCAGGCTGGACTCCAACACTTTGTTCATCTCCATTACATAGAGATTCAATCATAAAATTGATTTTGCTTCGAGTTCAACTCCCAGAGAAATGAGAAAACTGCATTTCTGGCCAGATCAATTTTGTACTTGCTGAAAGTGTTTATAGCATGAGAGAAGGAAACTAAGGAAGTCACAACATTGACTGGTCAGCTCCAATATATTACATTTTTGTCCTTGGGTTTAGGAGTCTCTTAATGGCTTATTCAAACTGCAGTGTGCATTTTTTTTTTTTTTTTTTTTTTTTTTTCTCCAGCGTAAGAGTGCACTTTTTTTGCCTGTTGCAGGTTGCATTATGCTGTGATGCTATGCTGCAAGAAAATGCAGCATTTTCTATATTGCCAGTGTACACAAGTGCAAGGGAGTGGAGGAAACTGGCATCTGAAGGGTTAAGGTCTAGACCTAGTTTCACTTAATTGCTAGTTTTTGCTTTGCTGCCCTAATATGTTCATTTTTTTTTTTTTTTTTTTTTTTAAGAAAACGTTTTTTTGTGTTTTATATATTGGTAGCCTAAAGCCTAACTCCATATTGTAGCAAACTGTAAATAGATCGCTTTCAGCACTGTGTGAACTGTAGGTAGCCTCAGCAACATAGAGTATATGATGCTGTGTTCCAATAGCTGGCCAGGAACCTCCCATCCCGCACCTGGAATAAAATTGAGTTGGGCTGAGTGCTGCTTGGCCATTCACAGGAAGCCTTGTATTTTATCAATTACCGTATTTTCCGGCATATAAGACGACTTTTTACCCCTTGAAAATCTTCTCAAAAGTCGGGGGTCGTCTTATACGCCGGTATATGGCATGCTGACACTTTTTAGGGGGGCAGCGCAGTGCCGCCGCCGCCCCCCTTTCCATGGAAGGGACACTAAGTACAGGGGTGGGCAGGGGGTGCTGTTTCTTACCTGGCTCCGGTCCCACGGCGATCCAGTCCAGGAAGCGGCTGCCCTTCATTCAGTTCGGCCACTGGATGTTAGCGTGGCTGCTCGGCTCCGCCTCCTCACCGGTGATTGGCCGCCAGAACTGTAGCTCAGGAAAGGCACACAGGCGGCCAATCACCGGCGAGGAGGCGGAGCCGAGCGGCCCTGCGAAAATCGAGTGAAGGAGCGGCCGGTAAGTGTGCCATGCAGAGGTGCTGCTGCAACCACATATGCTGGCTGCAGAAGCACCATACTGCAACAGGGGTCAGCAAGTGTCATTGGTGTCAGTGGGAGGAATAGTGCCCCATCATTGGTGTCACTGATACCAATGATAGGGCATTATTCCTCCCACTGACACCAACGATGGGGCACTTTTCTTCCCCCCACTGACACCAACGTTGGGGCACTATTCCCCCCCCCCCTCCCCCACTGACAACAACGATGGGGCACTATTCCACCCCCCACTGACACCAATGATGGGATACTATTCCTCCCACTGACACCAATGATGGAACACTATTCCTTCCCCCACTGACACCAATGATGGAACACTATTCCTTCCCCCACTGACACCAATGTTGGGACACTATTCCTCCCACTGACACCAATGTTGGGACACTATTCCTCCCACTGACACCAATGTTGGGACGCTATTCCTCCCACTGACACCAATGTTGGGACGCTATTCCTCCCACTGACACCAATGTTGGGACGCTATTCCTCCCACTGACACCAATGTTGGGACGCTATTCCTCCCACTGACACCAATGTTGGGACGCTATTCCTCCCACTGACACCAATGATGGGGCACTATTCCTCCCACTAATACCAATGATGGGACACTATTCCTCCCACTGACACCAATGATGGGGCACGATTCTTCCCACTGGAGTGCATTGGAAGAGGGGTAGTCTTATACGGCGAGTATAGCCCAAACACTGTATTTTAACAGGAAAAGTTGGGGGTCGTCTTATACGCCCAGTCGTCTTATACGCCGGAAAATACGGTAACACACCTCTTCCTTTGGCTAAGGTAGAGATTGTGATACCATCTGCTCACCTCTCCACTTCAATCAGGAGGAAGCCCTTGTATTCATTTAGAATATAAATAGCTTCCTCTAAATGGCTGAGCATTGCTCAGCCTGACTTGATTTTGTTCTGGGAGCAGGACAAGAAATTCCCACCCTACTGCTTGAGCACAGTGCTGTGCACTGTATGTAGCTGATGCTTTATACAGTTCACACAGCACTGACAGCTGCTGCTTGAGTTAGGATTTCTAGAGTGCTATAGTTAACTGTCTCTTTTGTTCATTGAAGGACACAGATCAGTAGATCGAGACCAATAGATTTTGTGCCACCTGCAGTAGTAGGATGCTAGGTATAACCAGAAGATTAGAACACAATCCAGGGGCAACCCTTACTAGTGGCCAAACCCTCTATTTGCAACAGATATCGCTTTTTTTAACCTTGCTTTTAGGAGTTGAGACTTAAATAAATAAAATAGAAAGTTTTTTCTTTTATGTTTTTTTTATTTTTTTTCTATTTATTTTTATTCCTGTTTGATGGATTTTTGTTTTCAGTCAAATGTGGTGCTGGGTAACAGATGGGATATACAGTCAGGTCCATAAATATTGGGACATCGATACAATTCTAACATTTTTGGCTCTATACACCACCACAATGGATTTGAAATGAAACAAACAAGATGTGCTTTACCTGCAGACTGTCAGCGTTAATTTGAGGGTATTTACATCCAAATCAGGTGAACGGTGTAGGAATTACAAGAGTTTGCATATATGCCTCCCACTTGTTAAGGGACAAAAAGAAATGGGACAGAATAATAATCTTAAATCAAACTTTCACTTTTTAATACTTGGTTGCAAATCCTTTGCAGTCAATTACAGCCTGAAGTCTGGAACGCATAGACCTCACCAGACACTGGGTTTCATCCCTGGTGATGCTCTGCCAGGCCTCTACTGCAACTGTCTTCAGTTCCTGTTTGTTCTTGGGGCATTTTTCCTTCAGTTTTGTCTTCAGCAAGTGAAATGCATGCTCAATCGGATTCAGGTCAGGTGATTGACTTGGCCATTGCATAATATTCCACTTCTTTCCCTTACAAAACTCTTTGGTTGCTTTTGCAGTCTGCTTTGGGTCATTGTCCATCTGCACTGTGAAGCGGCGTCCAATGAGTTCTGAAGCATTTGGCTGAATATGAGCAGATAATATTGCCCGAAACACTTCAGAATTCATCCTGCTGCTTTTGTCAGCAGTCACATCATCAATAAATACAAGAGAACCAGTTCCATTGGCAGCCATACATGCCCACGCCATGACACTACCACCATCATGCTTCACTGATGAGGTGGTATGCTTAGGATCATGAGCAGTTCCTTTCCTTCTCCATACTCTTCTCTTCCCATCACTCTGGTACAAGTTGATCTTGGTCTCATCTGTCCATAGGATGTTCCAGAACTGTGAAGGCTTTTTTAGATGTCGTTTGGCAAACTCTAATCTGGCCTTCCTGTTTTTGAGGCTCACCAATGGTTTACATCTTATAGTGAACCCTCTGTATTCACTCTGGCGAAGTCTTCTCTTGATTGTTAACTTTGACACACATACACCTACCTCCTGGAGAGTGTTCTTGATCTGGCCAACTGTTGTGAAGGGTGTTTTCTTCACCAGTCATCCACCACAGTTGTTTTCCGTGGTCATCCGGGTCTTTTTCTTGCTGAGCTCACCGGTGTGTTCCTTCTTTTTAAGAATGTTCCAAACCGTTGTTTTGGCCACGCCTAAAGTTTTTGCTCTCTCTGATGGGTTTTGTTTTTTTAGCCTAATGATGGCTTGCTTCACTGATAGTGACAGCTGTTTGGATCTTATCTTGAGAGTTGACAGCAACAGATTCCAAATGCAAATAGCACACTTGAAATGAACTCGACCTTTTATCTGCTCATTTTAATTGGGATAATGAGGGAATAACACACACCTGGCCATGGAACAGCTGAGAAGCCAATTGTCCCATTACTTTTGGTCCCTTAACAAGTGGGAGGCACATATGCAAACTGTTGTAATTCCTACACCGTTCACCTGATTTGGATGTAAATACCCTCAAATTAAAGCTGACAGTCTGCAGTTAAAGCACATCTTGTTTCTTTAATTTCAAATCCATTGTGGTTGTGTATAGAGCCAAAAATGTTAGAATTGTGTCAATGTCCCAATATGTATGGACCTGACTGTATAGATCCTGGTAGTCCTGCCCCCTCCCACCACTGCCTTCAAAAGCATGCAGTGCCCTATACTGGTCCTATACAGGCAGGATTGTCTATGACTACTCTGCTTGGTAGTTTAAGTGCTTGCTGTTAGTGGACATGAGCAACGTATCAAGCTAATTGGGTGTGCGATGCCCAGGTCAATATAATGAGGCAATTGCAAATCCCTGGAGACGCCAGCCATCTGTGGATCTCGTGGAACTACATATACCAGCATAGCTATGGAAGTATGTTCTTCCTGGGAAAGGTTCATTGTATCTTCTTCTGCTTTTTTTCTCTTGCCCCAAGGCTACCCTTCAACTTCCAATCACTCACTATGAGCCTCCCTATCCCACAAGTACAGACTGTGGGGCCCCCCCCCCCTTGCTGATAGTGAGGTGGCCCTCATTAAGGCTGTTTAGTAAACCTTAAAGATTGATAAGTCTCCTTCTATGTCCACGAATTCCACTGTCCCACAAGGGACCCACAAGCTTAGTTGAGCTAATTTGCTCTTATGCTTCCTTCTTTGATTTCATTAAAAAGGACTGTGCCTTCCAGGTGAGCTTTTTACATTTTCAAAAT